ACTCACTTGGGGAGTGAATCATCGGACGGAAGATCTTCCTCTCTGTCTCTCCTCTCTGTATATCCGCCTTTCCAATGAAAAAATAATAAAAATAAATCTTTAAAAAAAAAAAAAGAAATAATAAAAGGTGATTTTCAAGATGTTTGTTTATTTGAGAAATAAGGTTACACAGAGAGGCAAAGAGATATTTTCTATCTGCCGGTCCACTTCCCAAATGACTGCAAAAGCCAGTGCTAAGCAAAGCAAAAGCCAGGAGTTTGGAATCCCAAGGTCTCCCACATCCCTGCAGGAGCCCAGGAACTTGGGCCACGTTCTGCTGCTTTTCCAGGCATGTTGGCAGGATGAATCAGAAGTAGAGCAGCTGCAACTGCTGCAGGCTGCAGCTTATGTGGTGACAGAATGCCAGCCCTGAAAATCAATGTTCTTGATATTACATAAAGTCAACTTTTCACAAATCTCCCATAGGATTGTTAATTCACCCAATGCTGCTGACTGAGAGTCTAAAAAAAGTAGAGTCAGACCTTGGTTTGAATCATCAGAGCTTTTCTCATGTTGAGTTTAGAAAATATACGGGCTGGGGCTGGCGGCGTGGCCTAGTGGCTAAAGTCCTCACCTTAAACTTGCCAGGATCCCATATGGGCGCCGGTTCTAATCCCGGCAGCTCCACTTCCCATCCAGCTCCCTGCTTGTGGCCTGGGAAAGCAGTCGAGGATGGCCCAATGCTTTGGGATCCTGCACCCGTGTATGAAACATGGAAGAAGTTCCTGGATCCTGGCTTTGGATAGGCACAGCACCAGCTCTCACCTGGGGAGTGAATCATTGGACAGAAGATCTTCCTCTCTATCTCTCCTCCTCTCAGTATATCTGACTTTGTAATGAAAATAAAATAAATCTTTGGGGTGGGTCTCAGGACGGGGCGTCTCATGCCTGGATCCTGGACGGCCACCATGGGCACATGGTGAGCCGTGCCCGGGCCTGCTGGGTTCCAGAGGCTGCTTCCTTTGGGGTGAGTAGACCGAGGGGGGGGGGCCTCTGGGACTGGGCAGGTCTGGCACCCAGCCGCCCTCATTGGGCAGTGAAGGGGATTTGGGAGGGGCACGACCTTGGGCCTGGGAATTTAAACCTCCAGCAGCCTCCCAGCAGCTGGTGGGTCTCAGGACGGGGCGTCTCATGCCTGGATCCTGGACGGCCACCATGGGCACATGGTGAGCCGTGCCCGGGCCTGCTGGGTTCCAGAGGCTGCTTCCTTTGGGGTGAGTAGACCGAGGGGGGTGGCCACCGGGACTGGGCAGGTCCGGCACCCAGCCGCCGCCCTCATTGGGCAGTGAAGGGGATTTGGGAGGGGCGCGACCTTGGGCCTGGGAATTTAAACCTCCAGCAGCCTCCCAGCAGCTGGTGGGTCTCAGGACGGGGCGTCTCATGCCTGGATCCTGGACGGCCACCATGGGCACATGGTGAGCCGTGCCCGGGCCTGCTGGGTTCCAGAGGCTGCTTCCTTTGGGGTGAGTAGACCGAGGGGGGGGGGCCTCTGGGACTGGGCAGGTCTGGCACCCAGCCGCCCTCATTGGGCAGTGAAGGGGATTTGGGAGGGGCACGACCTTGGGCCTGGGAATTTAAACCTCCAGCAGCCTCCCAGCAGCTGGTGGGTCTCAGGACGGGGCGTCTCATGCCTGGATCCTGGACGGCCACCATGGGCACATGGTGAGCCGTGCCCGGGCCTGCTGGGTTCCAGAGGCTGCTTCCTTTGGGGTGAGTAGACCGAGGGGGGTGGCCACCGGGACTGGGCAGGTCCGGCACCCAGCCGCCGCCCTCATTGGGCAGTGAAGGGGATTTGGGAGGGGCGCGACCTTGGGCCTGGGAATTTAAACCTCCAGCAGCCTCCCAGCAGCTGGTGGGTCTCAGGACGGGGCGTCTCATGCCTGGATCCTGGACGGCCACCATGGGCACATGGTGAGCCGTGCCCGGGCCTGCTGGGTTCCAGAGGCCGCTTCCTTTGGGGTGAGTAGACCGAGGGGGGGCACCTCTGGGACTGGGCAGGTCCGGCACCCAGCCGCCGCCCTCATTGGGCAGTGAAGGGGATTTGGGAGGGGCGCGACCTTGGGCCTGGGAATTTAAACCTCCAGCAGCCTCCCGGCAGATGGTGGGTCTCAGGACGGGGCGTCTCATGCCTGGATCTTGGACGGCCGCCATGGGCACATGGTGAGCCGTGCCCGGGCGGCCAGTGCGCCATTGGTGCCAGGCTCCACCTGCTGGCCGCCCGGCCGGGGAGCTCTGTCGATTTGGTTCTTTGAGTCGCTGCTTAATTAGCTCCAGGTTGAACCCATAGTGCTTCTTGGACCTGAAACAGGCAGTAACTCTTCCTTAGCAAAACTTGTAAACACTAATAATGCTGAGCACCAAATACCAGTCCATGCAGAAGCCAGGGCTTGGGGCTTGTCCTGCAAAAGTAGCTCCAACAGCTGGCCAGTGTGTCAACTGGTAATGGAACAGGGAAGATTAGGCACGACTGAGCAATCCTTAGCCCACAAGTAACACTAGAAACCAAGAGGGAGCAGAGGTCATGCCGAGCTAGGCTCTTGTACCTGCTGGTCTGTGGGAGCCAGGGACGCTAAGCCACAGTGTCTAAGGCAGAGTTCGGGACAGGGGAGGGGCTGTGCCAAGCTGAGTCAGAGCATCCATTGATGGGCATGTGATCTATGGCTGGGAACAGACCCGGTTGGGGAGCAAAGGGGACAACCCTAGCTGGGCTGAGGTTCCCACCAAGAGGCGCGTGGCCTGGAAGGGGAGCTGCGTTCTGATGTGGAAACAGTTGTAGTCTCCCTTGGCACAAGTGTGGACTGGGAATAGATGCACCAAACTGGGCTGGACCCCGACTCCCCCTGGTGTTCTGGAGGACCAGGGCAGATGTGGGATGGACTAGGCAGGGTCTCAAACCCCTACTGAGCCATGTGTGAGCCATACGTGGGTATGGACAAACCATGGCTGGGCTGGAACATCCAACAGCAAGAACCAGATTGGGTGGAAGGCCAGTCAGGAAAAGCCACAGTTCTTGCTATGACAGGAGGTGGACTGAGTAGGGTTGGCTCATGGACCCACTGGTAAGTGTGAAACCTGGCATTGGGAGAGGTTCTGATGGAGGAGCCTGGGCAACTCCTCTGGCAGGACACAGACCCGGCAGGTAAACACAAGAAACATGATGGGAAACAGCCCAGAAAAGGCCATGGAAAGCTACCCACTGGCATACAATTGGCAGACGTGGGGGCAAGACCAGGCTGATTCTGTCCACATCATCCACTGGCAAATCCAAGCACCAGTGTGGGTCGGCCCAGGGTCGGTCTCAACAAAGACTAGTGCACATTATGGAATGCCGAGGTGAGGTTGCCTGTACCAGAAGGGACCGCAGCGCCCAACCAGCCTGAGAACAAGAAAGGAAATGGGCAGAGCTGGCAGGGGAATGAGGGAGGGTTCCTTTGCAGGACAGCTACTTCCGCAGGAGAGCATGGGCTGGGATGGGGGCAGACCAGACAGGGCAGAGCTACCACACCTGTGCGCCTCATGTGGACTAGATCAGGGAAAAGCCGGGCTCGGCGGATTATTCCTACTGGTGCAGACAAAATTAAAGTGGGCGAGGGTTGTTTGGGCTTAGACGCAGCATCGACTGGAATCTGGGAGTGGGAGAGGCCTGGGAGGGTAATAGTGGGCTCATCCCTCTTGGGTTAACACTCCCACAGGAGGACATAAAACTAAGACAGCTGCTGGGGTGGAATGGGGTGTGGGACAGACTGGATTACTGCTACACTTACTGGCAAACCAGGGTAGGGGGTGGGCCTGGTGGGGGTTATTGTGGGTCGCTCCAACCTAGGCTGCAGCTCCCACTGGTTTATGTGAGGGCCAAGTATGTGCTGGGCAGAACCAGGCTGGACTGCAACACCCATTGGTTCCAGTGGAAGTCGGGAGTGAAAACAGAACCAACCCAGCAATTGCAACCACCAGCTGATTGGAGTGATGGACGGTGCCAGGCCCTGTACTTGTTAGATCTTCCTAATCTAAATGCTGGACTCAGAACCCTAACGAAGAAAAGAGAGAAGACAGAACAGGTCAACCAACCATCTCAGCTATGATGGACTATGTCAATCAGTGGATTTTTCAAAGATCTCATAGTGTTTGGAGTGGCAAGATTGACAGCGATTCATAACTGTGGCAATATCAAAACCACTTGAGAACCTCAGAGTATGCCCTACATCCGGGACCTGGGGAGGGTGGGAAATTGGGTGGGCTTCTCCTTTTAATACCCCCCTTTAAATATGAAGCTAACAATATGGAAAACATACTAGTATTATCCACTTTCCTGTAGCCCTTGAACCTTCTTACCCTGATTAACTATGTAAAGAATGTCAAAATAAAATTTATTAATAATAAAAAATAAGAAGAAATTAAAAAAAAAAAAGAAATAAACCTTATTCCAGATTTTCAAGGAACTTAAAAAAAAAAGAAAAGAAAATAAATCTTTGAAAAAAAAAAGAAAACATATGGGCTGAAATTGTGGTGCAATGAAGCAACCTTCCAATTTCTTGTCTACACACAGTTTAGTCAGAGAATTCTGAGACTGTAATACTCCCACCTAAAATCAAAGGGATATCCCTCTTGTGCTTAAAAGACCAAAGTAATATGCAGATGCCTTTGATGCATCAAAGATCTGATTGACATGATTTATCATATTTTATTCATAATAAGGCAATTAAGTCTGTTTTTAGTAATTGCCTTCATCTTTAAGAGATACTATGTCATACAGCCAAGAGTGACGTGAGAGTGAGTGAAGAAGAGTAGGTGTAGATGAAAGACTAGCCATATATTGATTGTGGAAGCTTGGTGCTGGTTTATTACATTATTCTTTTCTTTTGCAATCATGCTTACTAAGAAATTGAAAAACTTCAGATTTTCAGATTCTAACCACTACTCAAAACTTAGTACACAATAGTAAAATACGCATGGTGACTCACCGGACATTTTCTGGTCTGAGTTTATCCAGAACCATCTCTATTAAGTCAGGTCTAAATTCTTCCAACAAATATGCAGCCGTGAGTACTTCTTCTAGAGGATAATACTTTTAAAAAAGAAAATGTTAAATAAATAAAAATTCTCAAGGATACTGTATCATATAATGTATTAAGGTAAACAAAAAAGCAACACGTTAAACACATTATTTTACACCCTCCCATTTTTTTATTCCATTGAAAATTTTCCTGGAGACTTAAAATCTTCCCTTTTCTACTGACCTTTTAGGTAGTTTCATGTTGTAGGATTAATTTAAGGCCAAATGTGCTTACATTGTAAAAACCAAAAACACATTTCTTTTGATGTAAAATGTAATATTACTGGTTAAAAATTTAGTACTTGCTAATGAAAAAATTTTGATGGTAAAATGCTGACATCTACAGGATTTTTAAAGTATAAAGTATGTACATTTTATAAAGAATTTCCTCTCATAGGCATAAAATTATAAAGTTTTATCGGATAAATGACTAATATTTTTGGCTAGTTTATAAAAATAATGAAGACACTTTTCAGTAAGAGTAATCTGCAGTATTGAGATTGACTGACAGATTTATTTAATCAACAAAATTTAATCAACTGCTTTGAGCCAGTCACTGCTCCATGTACTATGAAAGCAATGGTACCTAAGACTTGCTAAGTTCTAGTTTTTTTAAAAACCATGTAGTCTAACAGAGTGGTAGACAAGAAACAGATATTGTCATTTAAAATATAGACACTATGAAGAAAACGAAGTAGCCACAGGGGTATTCTTTGATTGCAGGTTAGGAAAGATCTTCCTGAGTGATATCTGAGTGGAAATCTTCTGAAAAGGAAAATTTAGCTACACAAAGATCTGGTGAGAGGTATTCCATGCAGAGGAAATAGAAAATGTAAAGGCTTTAGGACAAAGAAACTTACTTCTTGAAAATTACAGAGGTGTTGGTGTCATGGCACAACACGTTAAGCTTCCAGTTACAACACCATCATCCTATATGGGTCTGCCAGTTCAAGCTCTAGCTACTCTAGCTCCATTCTATTACACCTGGGAAAGTAGCAGGAAATGGCCCAAGTGTTTGGGTCCCTGCCATGCAAGTGGGACACCTGGATGGAGTTATAGGCTCCTGGCTTAGGCCTGGCTCAGCTCTACACAGTATGGAGTAAAGGAATACTGAGGAGTGAACCAGAAGATGGAAGATATCTCTGTCATCCTGCCTTTCAAATAAATTAATTAATATGGAAGAATGGAAGGAAGGAAGAATGGATGGATGGAGAGACAGGTGGATGGACGGCTGCATGGAAAGAAGGAAGGATGGAAGGAAAGAAACAGAGAAGAGAAAAACGAAATAAAATAGAGAGTCAGTTTAGCTGGGATAGACTGGGAATGGGAGAAATAGGTTAGAGAATAGTATAGAATGCGACCAGATAGGTCCAGGCCAGATCATCTGTTTGGCTAAGAAAATGTTTAGACTTTATACCAACTCTGATGAAAAACCACTGAAGAACTGTAAAGAGAAGAGTAAAACAACCAGATTTATTTTTCAAAAGATCACTCTGGCCATAAAATAATCTTTATTAGGGGACAAAATAGAAAATAGTGATCTAAAGTAAGAGACTAAAATGATAATCCACACAAGAAATGATAGCAGCTCCCACTCGGGTGGGAGCAGTGAAGTTAGAGAAAAGTAGATAATCTAAACTTTTCATATAAGGCAGCACCTGACAGATTATGGAAGTGAAAAACACTTTAAGCTAATAACCAAATGCCTATGTAATAAAAATATCACAGGTAATTTTAGGATGATGAAAATTAAGATTTTAAACTTATCTTGGTATCAAAGTGAGCCTGGCTGCTACAAACTAAAAAACTTTATACTACAGCTTCATTTTTTCATCATTTGTACAATACTGAAAGTAGCAGATGCAGGATCACTGAACTACCTCGTACAGCAATTTACAGTGTATAATAACAAACTTACATGCAATATCCCTGCAATCTTAGATGTATAGTCTCGTGGCCTCTCTTTATCTTTAAACCTAAAGGCAACAGCATTCAAGTCCTAGAACACAAAGTTAACCCAATTACACATGTGTTCATCATATAGAGATACTTTTTTCATAGCATTAGATTCGAACTATGAACTTTCTACTCTACGTTTAACTCTATCATGTTTTCTGGAAAAATGGTTTTGCTTGATCTACCCATGTATAAGACAAGAAATAAAACCAGATGTGTTTAAGATTCAACCCATCAATCCAGACCTAAAACCAAAACAAAACAGATAAATAATTTTGAATGAGAGCAATAAATATGGAAAATTATTTTGTAACCTACTTTGTTAAAACTATTAGTCAAAGATTCAGACAACTGCGTGGAAGAATTTTGTGAAATCCAACAATTATAAGCTGATGTTTTGGTGATCATTTCAAAGAACTGCAGTCATAATACAAGTTATTGTTATAATTTCCAAAAGCAGAGTTTATTACTGTAAACGATTACTAGTTAGGGGATGTTTCTTATCCTAAAATACATCTCAAAATCTTGATAGACCTTAAATATAAAATATGTATCTTTAAAAATCCTTTCAAAAGCAGGCTTTAAAAATTTGGAAGATAAATACCTTTTATACCAAAAAAAAAAAAAAAGGAAGGGAAAAAAGATAGCCACACTTTTCCACATAAAAAAAACTAATAGGATCAGTTCTAAGAACAAAACCATACATAAAGCAATTCACTGTTTCTCTGAGAGTCTACTACCAGTTTTTCTTATCATCTCAAGATGACACAGCTCATGCAGCTTCAGGCAGGGAGAAAGATAAGCACTGACAAGTATCAGCTCAAGAAACTGCCAGTCTTCTTTTGAGGGATTGAAAAGCAATCTGATTTCTTCCCCTTTCTCTGTTAAAAAAGACTACAAGATGCCTTATCCCTTGATAGTGCCCCACAGAGTGAATCAGACTAGTACATGAATACTAATGTACATTAATGCCTAATACTACTAGGCATTGCAAATTTCTAAGAGTTTAATTAGCAAAGAGGAAAAAAAAGCTTTAAAAATTTAACTCAGCTTTAAATTTAAAATAACGTACGTTTATGTGGTTTTTGAAAAACAGATTCCTTAAGAACAATTTTGGAGAAACAAAAGTACCTTGCACTCTTGGAAAACCCATTCTTGAGGTCCTTCTGCACGTAACTTCTGAATGTATTGAAACATGTGCAAAATTATATCTTCAACATGCACTGGAAAAAAGGGGGCAAACTTAAAAATCATTCAGGTCTTGAATTCTTCAAAGCAGTGAGCTCACTGCTAAGGTTGAGTCACATTAAATAGAGGATGGTCTGTCTTTGAGAATGGACGCCTCACCTCCCTGAGACTGGTGGTATGTGTCCCACACTCTCGACCCTCTGGGCTCAGGGTTATGGGACTGAAGGGTTGCTGGGGCAGTATATAAGCAAATGAAAAAGCTAAGTATACATGAACATAACAGTTATTAAGTGATGGGGTGGGGAGGAATCATCCATGAAGCAAAGGCCAAGTTACACAGGAAAAATACAATGGAGAAGTTGTGTGAGTTGAAAGACTCTACGGAGACTTTTAATTCATAAAATGGATCCAGAGCATTAAGAACTTAAAAGTAAATAAATAAAAGCAAGTTCCTTTTCATTCAAAAGCAAAGAAGGCCAATCAGTAAATCAATACTTACATAATCCTTCCTCAGTCAAGTCCACATTAATGATGAAAAACATAAAACCTCGTGCTCCTTCCTTTTGCCCACCAACAAGAGTATTTACCCAGCCTGCAACACGCAAAGACAATCACCACCATTACACGTGTGCCTTCTTTTGAGACAGAAAGTTTAAAAAAATCCATTCTAAGAGACTAGAATGGATGCTCCTAAGAGATTAGAATGGATCCCTTGTAGAAAAAAAAAAAAAAAAAAGAAGTCAGAAGAAGCAATTTCAGCAAAGGGCAGGGGCAGACCACCATGTGTAAGGAATACGTAAAAGCAAATAGTGCAAATTGGGCAGGGCTTTTAAGCTGTCAACTGTCTAGCTCTTTCACCCTTTCAATAGGATGCATAACAGCAGACAAATTAAATAATATGTTCTAAAATTTCACAGAGATGGCAAAGACTACCGAATGTCAGCTGCTACTTTTTAAAGGTTTTTCTCATTTTAAACACCAAATATCTTTTGAAATATCTAACCTACACTGTTTAATACTAAAAGGTCAAACAAATTGCAGGGAAAAAAAAAATCCCAAACACTAAAACAAAGCATATTAACAACCACCACCTCACTCATCAGTCCCGAATGCAGTTTCCTCTAAAAATGCTTCTTCCATAATAGCTATTTCAGAGAAGATGAGAGGTAGAGTTAAAAAAATGAGATGGGTCGTTTCACTGAGAACCTGTTGCCCAAGAGTCTTACCCTTTGATTTTAGTTCTGATAGTAGACTGCCAGGACCTTCGTGGCCAATGAGATGACCAAGATAATGCCCAGGATTTGATTTGTAGTATTGCTGAAGGTCAGGGATGGGGAATGTTACATAAAGGTTCCTAATATCCTTAATAGGAACTACTTTGTAAAGTTGCTGTGGAGTTAAAAAAAAAAATCACAATTAATCATATATAACTGCTATTGAATAAGACATAAACTACAAAGAATAATGATTTTCATGGAAGAATCCCAAACTTAGGAGTGACTCAACTGCCAGAAAAAAACCACACCAACCACAAAGGGATAAATGATCCCAGCTCTCTCAGGGAAACTGCATTCTAGGTGGAAAGCAGCTGTCCGTGCTCGGTCCATCAGGCTAGTTCTGAACGCATTCCTTCTGGCACTGGCTAACAGCATCAATAGTCTGCCAAAACTACAGCTGCTAAAACTACCGCCCGGCATGTGAAGATCAGAACACGGTCTTCCGTGTGTTACACGTGTACCCAGTGCATGTGAAACCGACGTGAATACCTTAAATAACCCTGAAGACTGCATAAACAATGAAACCCCAACATTTTTCATCTTTTCTAATTAACTAAGCATATATTTTGTCCATAAATTTAAAAGGAAAAAAAAAAAAGCAAGTAACTGCATGCACTTACTTTAAGATGTTCTTCTTGGAAAGGGTGTTCAGGAAATTCTGGCAATGGGACATTTTTGTTTTCTACTTCAGAAAACAACTTTACCACTAAATCAGTCAATTCATCTAAAGATTCTACAAGAAAACAGACATTGGAAATAGAAATTTCAACTAATAGTAACATACAGTAGATAAAATTTCAGACCGAGCAGTTGGCACTGTGGCACAGTGGGATAAGCCACCACCTTTGACATTGGTATCCCATATGGGTGCTGGATAAGAGCCAGAGATTCGGGTACTTGAGTCAACGCCTGCTTCCCCCGCCAGGATGAGCATTAGCAGAAAGCTGGGATCAGGAGCAGAGCCAGGACTTGAACTCAGGAGCTCTGATCAGCATGTGGGTGTCCCAGCCAGCATCATGACTGCCATACTGAAAATCCACCCCAGTGAGTGTGTACACAACTGCTAAAGCAATACTGACATTGTGCCTCATACATAGCTACTTCTTCATTGCTAAAAATGTTGTTTAATATTGTTCACAATATCGATAGCTTCACAAATACTACTTTGCAATAAGTTCTTAATAAATATTAGAAACAGGGACTGACATGGCTTAGAGGATAATGCTGCTTGTTGCAATGCCAACATTCCATATGGGCACAGGTTCAAGTCATGGCAGCTCCACTTCTGATCTAGTTCCCTGCTGGCTACAATAGTCATTTGGGAATGAACCAATAGATATAGGACCTCTCCTTCCCTTGCCTCATCTTAACCTCTGTGTCTCCTTGTGATTTTCAAAATAGGTAAATCTTTTAAAATTATTAGAAATAATAACCAAATAAGCTACATTTAGGAAAATAATTATTTACAATTTACAGAAGGTATGTACAAAGTGTAATAGACTGTAGCACTTTATAAATAGCCTAAGCCCATTATTGAAAGTCAAATGTTAGTATTTATTACTATTTTTTAATGATTTATTTATTTATTTGAAAGGCAGAGTTTCAGAGAGAGGAGAGACAGAAAGATCTCCCACCCATTATGGCCCACCACAACAGGGACTGGGCCAGGCTGAACCCAGGGGTCAGGAGCTTCTTCTGGGTCTATCAAGTAGGTATGGGGCCTAAGCACTTGGACTATTTTTCACTGCTTTCCCAAGCCATTAGCAAGAAGTTGGATCAGAAGTGGAGCAACTGGGACATGAACCAGTTCCCACATGGGATGCAGGCATGGCAGGCATCAGCTTAACCAAGTAAATCACAGCACTAGTCTCCAAATATTAGAAAAAGTAACTGATTTTGTGGGCAAATAGTACAAAATGGTAAAAAGAATCCCAACTAGGGAATTAGAAGACTTGGAGCATAACCTAAGCTTCACCAAATGCCTGTGTCAACCAATTACTTGCATAAGCTGGCTAATCATTTGGGCTCCTGTTAAAAATAAATAAATAAAAACAAAAATAAACAGTTGGACAAGATGACAACACAAATCTCTTTTAAATTCTAATGTCCTGAAGTCACTCAAAGATTTTCTGTTGTTGCTAAATTTATATGACCACTTACATATATTCTTTTGTAAAGGATTTTACTTAAAACTTTGAGAAGTTCTTTTGTATATATTAAGTTCATTCCAACACTGTGACAATAACAACAAAAGACATAAATGAGCGAAATTTAAGTATGCGGCTATTATGAAAGCACCACACACTGGAGCCGTGTGCAGACACTGATGAAGAGACTTGTATGTGCTGTCCACCTGCCCCTCTCTACAGAATCCTGTCCTTCAAATAATGAAACAAATCTTATATATATATGTGCACACACACCAATTTTCAAATTACTTTTTTTTTGGATATGTACGAAGGACTCTAAAATGTCTAGGACCAAATTAAAGGCAGACCAGTGTGAAAAGACTAAGGAATGAAAGGAATACATATGAATCATCGATCAAGGTTCTATTAGGTGTGCCTTTTGAGTATTTATAATGTAAAAGAATAAATGTGGGGTTTCTTTCTGTTTGTGTGTGTTGGTTTTTGTTTTGTTTCTTTTCCCTCTCTCCTCTCTCCTTGAGAAACTGACAGACAAGAGACACAGAAAGCTCCCATCCACATCCACTGGTTCACTCTCCAAACGCCTGCACAGCCACAGCTGGACCAGTGGGGCCGGCCCTGGGAGTCAGGACATCAACCCGGGGTGGCAGGGACTGGTCTCATCATTGCTGCCTCTCAGGTCTGACACTGGCGGGAAGCTGGAGTCATAAGCCTGAGCTGGCAATCAAACCCACTTGAATGCTCATTCCCACCATGTAGCCTTGTTTTAAAGGTAAGGCAGCTAGACCACATTATCCTGCCTTTTCCACGCGTCTGTAAGTCACATTGTCTTGCTACCATCAAGACTTCAGCAATCTCAGTATCTGGACCGATGGCCATCTGCTGGCCAAGCGTTTAGGCAATTTGTGCTGCCTAAACCACAGAGACAGCCTCCGGCAGGAACAAAAGAAAACTTTTTGCGGTTGATCTTTTCCTTTATACTTTCTTCCCTAGCTTTTCATATGCTCAGAGCTTGAACTGGTGTTTATACTTTCCTCAGGTTTCAGTTCAAAGCCACTTAACATGCTCTAGAGAGCGTGAGTATTCTGCGAGAAACAAATCATTTTCAAAAGACTCTAAGCAGACAAATAGCTGAATCCTAAAGCATTGAAGAAGAAAAAACTCAGATGATTTAATTCAACGAAAAATATAAGACTTCTTACCTCGACCTAAAACACAAATAGCCATCAAGTTGGATGAATAGTAAGTCGAATGGAACTTCAGCAGCTCTTCTCTTACGTCAATGCCTTCTTGGTTTGGTCGAATCTCTAGGGTATATTTGTTACCTGAAAAGGAAGAACAGGTATTTCTCAGAAAAAGCCAAATACGTGTACTTTAAAGTCTCATAATTATTTCTGGTACTGCTGTGGGATAAATATTTAAAGACCTAATACAATAGTCAATTGTATTTGAATATAAAGAGCTAATCAGGACAGACCAATAACACCCCAGAGTTTTCCCTAAGGAACTAAAAGTGCTTTGTAAATATTATGCTTCTTAAAACCCCTGTGAGCTGGCAGGTATTATGAGCACTTGTTAAGGCAAAAAAGGAGTCATGTGGCCTCCATTCACACTTACCTTAATTTTCAATTCCCTATGGACTCCATAATTAATTTAACAGACTCACTGAGGGATCTTGTTAGAACTTACTAAGTTACTTGTGGAAAGAAAAGTTACTATTTGGGGCTGGAACATTAAATTTGTGATGTGAATTCTCACTACTTGATCTAGACTGATAAAAACAGAATGAAATACTACTTTGATAAACTTCAAGTGATGTATATAGTGTGCCACTATGCTCTTAATAAAATTTTAATAGCTAGCTCCATTTTGACAAAATATGACAGTCAAGCTCTTGAAATATCACAGTTTTAGATGATTTTGAAAACTAGGGGCTGGAAGATGAAATCCCAGTGATTGGCATCTCACCAAGAAGGCAATCTTAAAGAAAAAAAAAACACACACACACAAAAAAAACAAACATCAGGCCCAGCACCGTAGCCTAGTGGCTGAAGTCTCCATTGTGCATATGCCAGGATCCCATATGGACGCCAGTTCTAATTCTGGCTGCTCAGCTTCCCATCCAGCTCCCTGCCTCTGACCTAGAAAGAGGCAGAGGACAGCCCAAAACCTTGGGACTCTGCACCTGCGTGGGAGATCCAGAAGAAGCCCCTGGCTCAGCCTGAGCTCTTGCTTCCACTTGGGGAGTGAACCAGCAGATAGAAGATCTTTCTCTTGGTATCTCCTTCTTGCTGCAAATCTGACTTTCAATAAAAATAAATAAATCTTTTAAAAAAAATATATAATTTGAGAGGCAGAGAGAAACAGACTGGTTTGCATATGCTGGCTCAAATGCCTTACATGCTTACAGTGAAGGCTGGAGCCACGGCTGTATCTGAAAGCCTGGAACCCAATCGAGTTCTCCCAGGGGGATGGCAGGGAACACAGCTATTTGAGCCTTTATGGCTGCCTTCAAGATCTACATTAGCAGGAAGCCAGAGTTAGAAGTGAGAGGTGGGAACCAAACCGGGCATCTTAATGTGGACTCAGAGGGACCTAAAAGCTAAGCCAAATGAACCTCTTCCCAAAATTAGCACCTTATCAGAAATTTCCTAAGCTCTTAATGTAACAACTCTTAATATTATCCTTATTTCACTACTAAATGGGATTCTGTCATCCTTCTTCTTTTCAAAGATTTATTTAGGGCCTGCACCCACATGGGAGACCTGGAAGAGCTCCTGGCTCCTGGCTTCAGATTGGCTCAGCTCCAGCTGTTGCGGCCGCTTGGGGAGTGAACCAGCGGATGAAAGATCTTCCTCTCTGTATATTCGCCTTTGCAATAAAATTAAATAAATCTTTTTTTAGCATGTTCAACGTGAGGCCTTCAGCCACTAGGCTACTGCGCAGGACCCCTGTCTTTCACGAAACAAGCTCTCTGATTTAATTTTTTTCCCCCTGCTTTTGTAAAGGGTGATGGATCAAACAGCAAATAAACTGGATGTCTACAGAAAGCCACCAGATGGCGCTCTCAGACTCAGTCTTTAATTCAGTATTGCTGTTAAAGTACTCATCCTGAGTACTCAGTACTGACACTGAGATCCACGTCCCAGAGTGTTTCATCCGACAGATCTAGTAAGGAGGTCCTGGTGCTGGTATGTATCCCGGCTGCTCCACTTCCCTTTAGCTGCCTGCTTGTGGCCTGGGAAAGCAGTGGAGGACAGCCCAAAGCCTTGAGATCCTGAAGCCACATGGGAGACCTGGAAGAAGCACCTGGCTTTGGATCAGCTCAACTCCAGTCATTGTGGCCACGTGGGGAGTGATTCAGTGGATGAAAGAGCTTCCTGTCTCTTCTCCTCTCTGTATATCTGCCTTCCCAATAAAAAATCAATCAATCAAATCTGATCATTGGTAGTATTTCCATTTTTTTATTAAATGGACATTCTGAAAGCCTCAGTTCTTGGAGAGACTCATACTTAAAAGTTCCAAAGTCTTTTGCACTGCCACACTCAGATTTCTACAATTTGCAAACTAAGACTGATACATTCTGGCAGTCAAGTAACGAGAAATTTTAATTTATTTCAATGGAAAACAAATGGGGCGCAAAGGAGAAGGTGTGGGGGACGGGGTGGTGTTATAGAACTGTTTGCGATGCCAGTGTCTCACGCAGAGGGACCAGCTGAGTTCTGGCTACTCGGCTTCTGATTCAGGTTTATTCTGATAAGCTTGGGAAAGGAACAGATGGATGCCGACTACTTAGGCACTTGCTATCCATGTGGGAGACCGGAATGGAGTTCTTGGATCCTGGTCCCAGCCTGGTCTAGCCATGGCTTTTGTAGCTATTTGGGAAATAAAACAGTGAATGCAAGATCTCTCTCTCTCTCTCTCTCTCTCTCTGCCTTTAAAACAAATAACATAAGTTTTAAAAACATGTTTAAAATGTGCCAGATCAAAATCTGTGATTTGTTGTATATAACCGATCAATGGTTTGATTTCTAAAAATCAAAAAATTTCAAATCAAAACTTATAAGGCCACAAGACCATGACTTCTTCTAGCCTTGCAAGTCTTGCAGCTCTAGCTCATTTTTCTCCTTGATTTCGATTTTCCTGAATATCCTGAACACCTTACGATCTGTCCTTAGTCTTTATTTATTTGAAAGGCATATAGACACAGAGACAGAGATATCTCCTGTGTTGGTTCACTCCCCACATGCCTGTTATTGTGGGGATGGAGGCCAAGGCAGGACCCGAGAATGCCAGCCATGGCTCCCACCTGGATGCCAGAGACCCGATTACTTGAGCTGATACCTGCTGCTTCCCAGCCTGCTCCGTAGCAGGAAGCTGGGCTGAGATACAGAGCTGGGACTCGAACCCAGGCACTCCAGTTTGGGATGTGGCCATCCCAAGTGGTGTCTTAACTGCTTCACCAACAGTCCTTTCTTCAGGTTAATTTTAAAACACACTGAGTGCTAAAGCAGGGACATACTTTAGACATATAGAAGCATTTGCCAAATACTGACAATGCTACAGTAAAAGAAGTGAAACACACACACACAAAAAAAACACAAACACATACAAAGAAATTTATATGCAGAGAGAACAAATTTATCCACTCCTTAAATGCAACAGTATAGATGAATCTTACCGTGTCATTTCATTCATATAAAGCATAAAAATAGGCAAAACTAATCTAGGTTATTAGAAGTCAGAATAGAGGTTAGCCTTTGGAGGAGGGAGAGGCTGAGAGAGGTTCCAGTAATGTCCCATTTCCCGACTGAACGCTGGTCCCCTGGTGTGCTCAGCTTCTAAAAATTTAATGAGCCATACATAAATAATAGTGTCACATCCATTGAATGGGGCCCTCAAATAACAGTAAAAGTAAAAATAACAAATTACCTGTCATGGACACTTCTCTGTATCCTTTTTCAACATAAACAGGGGACCACTGTCAATGGTGACCTGCTATGCTGAAGTCCAAAACTTAACAATGTGAGATTTTTGGCCAAACTGCTAAAATGAGACTCAACCACATTTAGTTAGAAAATCACCTAGCTATCTATCCTACACATTCCACGTTTATTTATTTGACACAGATTTCAGTGGGCCCTTTGGAGCACAGCCCAGTATGGCAGTCCCACACCCTCCTGAAGTACAGAAGAGGAAAACCATCTCTTAACACACGGGCGGAGGGAGCCACGGTGGACCCTGGGGACGGACAGCCAGAGGCAGGCTTGCTGCTACGGTTATTAACCTCCTAACAATACATTCATTAGGAGAATTTGCCAGAAACAGAAAGGCTAGCTAAATTTTATTTTCACTATTCTTTTATATTTTGGTGAAAGTTCTTAAGAAATTGATGAGGAAAAGAAAGGAAAAACAGGACAATGGCACAAAAGCCATAATTAATCCTTCCGCTATCAGGCAGATGCTGTTGTCATCATGCTGAGTTCCCCAGGTATGAGGCGCAGAGGCACGGGCACTGACACTTGGGTGTTGGCAGACTATTTTTGCATCCAGTCACCCATCTTCTGCTTGCCTGGCCTTGAACATGTTGCTTTCCTTCTCTTGGGTCCCATCTTCTAACCTGACTGGAAGCCTTACGCCAAATAAGGTGGGGTGTGGGGTGGGGGGAGTGAACATGTAAAGAAACACTAGACTGACCTAGCCCTGCCAGGTCGGTTGGGAAGTGATTCCCTGGGTTGGGTTAGTAAGTTTTTCTCGACAGAGGCATGTAAGATGTGCTGCAGCCAAATACATAGGTTCCTAGAAGTTTCCATTTAAGAGTTTGCCTTTGAGTCTCACAGGAGACTCATATCTGGCCTCTGTGGTGCAGAATTCCATGCAGGCCCTGGCTGCTCCATTTCCATTGCAGCCCCTCATCAGCGTGCCCGGGAAAGCAGTGCCTCGAGGATGGCCAAAATGCTTGGGCTCTGTACCAACACGGGAGTCACGGAAGAGGCTCCTGGCTTTGGACCAGTCTAGCTCCAGCTGCTGCTGCCATTTAGGGAGTAAACCAGCAGATGGAAGAGTATTGTTCTCTCTCTCTCTCTCTCTCGCTCCCCTATCCACATTTCTGTAACTCTGCCCTTTAAATAAATATATAAATCCTCAAAAAGAAAGAACAAAAAGCTTCCATGACCAGACTCCAAGGCGGTCCGATCTTGAGTTGTAATCTTCAGACTCTAAGCTGAAATAAATTGTTTCTTTCCCCTAGACACTCCTGCAGGGGCTTGAAATGACCAACAGAGTTACCTAAACGACAAGGTAGCAGTTACATCCAAGATGGCTA